CACAAACGACCATAACTGTAATCATTTTTAAATAACATGATTATATAATAATATATATATACTAGTTTAACACAGAGGCCCGTTTTTTACATTATGAATGCTTTTACTTTGGTAATGCAAGTAGCAAGCATTTTGCTTACAACACTTTTTACTTATCAGTAACATTTTAATAGAGAACTTTTTTATTGTAATGAAGCATTTCAACTTCTGTATTGCTACTTTGAATAATACAATTATTATTAGTATTATTCATACTATTATTGTTACTACTATTATCATTATAAATATAGCATTGGATTGTCTACTTTTAGATCATATAGTGTGTTTTATTGACACAATCATCTCTCCATGACAACATAAGCATGTGGCAAAAAGGGAAACAAATCTGACTTGGTGCCGGCCTCTGCCTCAGCAGTATTTGGATAACGAGGGTTGATTTGAGGACCACCTGTTTTTTGGTTCCTGTCAAAACACGCTCAAAAAAATGTGAAACAATTGCACTGATCTTTCTAGTTGGGAATTAGTCCCTTGTACCATCTGTACTCAGGATCAGAGACAATCACTAAGACGTACCTCTGAAAGGATCAAGAGAAGCATCTGCCGGTATTGCTGACTGGTCCCAGTAGTGTTTTTGAGATCGTATTATTGTGATCCGTGAGGGTGTTTCATGTGAAAGATTTTTGCCTCACTAATCAATATTTTTAAATGATGTGTTTCTGGAGCTAGTTGAAGCCACCGCAGAAAATGAAACCTCTTTGCTGCTGACTGGATTGGTAATCAATTGTTACATATTGTTGTGCATGACACTGAATACAAATCAGAGTGATCTATGATGCACAGGTTTCTCATAACAGGGAGCAATATTTGGCGAGGATGTGAATGAAAGATGACGGTGTTCAAATGAAAATACATCTTCCATTCGGAAAATAGACAAAAACGCACTGGGCCAGCTGGGCAAGCTCAAGGCATAAACAGCAAAAGAGGAGTCCTGGTGAGCTAGAAATGATAACCAGGGAGAAAATAAATAAATCTGTTACCCTGGTGACAACTGGATGTGAAATAATCATCGAGCGTGAGAAATTACATGTTGCATTTTTTTGCAAAAACCTCCTCGCCTCACAGCAGGTCTTCCACACAACGTAACAACTGTTAATGATACTTTGGCAAAAAATAGAGACGGGAAGCATTAACATGACAAGTTGAACGGTTGACAAAACAACATGCTCTCAAAAGATGAATTGTTATTTTAAAGAGGGCATATTTTAAAGGGATGAGCAATAGCTTTCATTACCTAATTTCCAGTTAGGTACATCTCATTTTGGTTGATTGGAATAATTGCTAGAAGTGTACTTTTTCACCTGCATGTGTTTATTTCTCATCAATGCCATAATGGTTGAAGTTTGCTATGTTCAATATTACCAGTTTACAACAAACCTCCTGTGAGAGGGGAAATAATGAGGTCCACACCAATTCCAGCAAAAACAAATTGGTTTATAAAATTATATCCAACTCTCTTGCCGCATTCCCAGAGCCAACGTATCACTCGTGTTTGAGAAATAAAAGGTTAAAATGCCTCGACCACACAAAGAAAACGCCCACCGCCAAACCTCCACAATTGAAGGCCTTTAACAAAGCAATAGGGGAAGGAGATGTCTCCTTCAAGGCTAAAGAGAGAAACCTGTCCGAGCGCAGGAGTGGTGTCACGGGGGCCTTACTTATCTCCTCCCAGATTAACTCCCAATTGTTCCTGTGGAACAAAGGCAGCCAGGGAGGAAACCAGCCCCCCCCCCCCCCCCCAAGGGCCAGATGGTCAGCGTTCAGGCCCCCCCCCCCCCTGTCCCCTCCAGCCCTTCCCCTCTCTGACAGGGCTGCGCGTGCTCTAGGTGAGACAGGCCACCCAGCGAATTCTCAATCCACACTGGAGAGGACAACCACGAATGTTGGATACCACAAATCTGCAGTCAACGGCAACAATCAGGCTTTTAGATATCTTTGTTATCATCGATGCAAATATATTAAAGCTCAATAATGTGGATTTCTTTCCACCTGGACCACATTTTGTTCAATTATAAGTGCTGCTATAAAAAGTAACATTACAGTTGCTTTTTCACCAGTGAGCCTGCCGCATCTGGTAAAATGAACTACTCTGGTCTGCAGGATTGTGTAATGTGCATGTTTTTGTCATTAGCTCTAATGATATTTTGCAAGTAAAGAAGGGGGAGAGGAGATAGGAGGAATTTAACCTTTGGGACATGAAACATGGAATGTGAGATTAGATGCAGTCAAGACAGACTGGTTTGCCTGTAATAACAATGACAAACCACCAAAAACCTGGTTATATGGCTCCATCTAAACTGCTGATCCCTGTTTCAACGTCGAGCCTCGGGCAACTGTGACGGTCTTCAAGAGACAAACATCTGAATTAGTGGCCTGGTTCCAGGCAGGCTTGACATGACATGACTTTGTTAACAACAAACAATCATGAGGACAGGATAAGATGTAATAAAAGATGAAATAAGATAATAAAATCTGCATTTTAAAAGGCAGCAGAAACTGATCTACAATCCTTTTAATACCCATAAATTAATAAGACTGCTGATCCGACATAAGGTTTCACTGGACTTCTTTTCTGCCACAGGTTTGACAAAAGATAAGTTCCACACTGACACTCATATTACACTGCAAGACATGTTAATTACCTATAGCCCACTAATTAGGCTATTAAATGTAGGTCGGACACATTTGGGGGCCAAGCACCACTGACAGCTACGACATATAGGCAAACATAATGGTTATTAACAGTTAAAAACATATGATAGTCCCACTCAGGCAGTATTCCAGAGCATGTAAACAGACTTTGCTCATGATTTGATTAATTGCCCCTCGTTATACTTCAATCACCCCTTTCTACAAAACACCCCGCAGTTTCTTCATCCCTACAGCTTTAACACTATTGTGAAATTCACTGGTGAAAACAAACTTTAAGCAGCTGTTTCAGCCTCGGGCACGGACCCGACATTACGCAGGCTTCAGCGCGACCATTACCAGCCTGATCCTGCTTCTGATCACTAACGTGCTTTCTCTCGTGGCGTGGAATTATTTTCAAAACAAGTGTGCGGACACACCGGAAAACCGTGCACGCCTACCTTTATGCACTCCGGAGACGCGTTACACGGCCATGTCCACGTAGCAATCGGGATGTGTGGGTTACATTTGGTGCGCCTCCGATTTGAACACCACCCCCACCCTGTTGCTGCTGCTCCGGGTCGCTCTGCTCACAGCTGATCTGCGCACTGAGGAAGCCGCCAAGTGACGTCAGGACATGACTGTATGTAGACCATTTGTTCCAGTTCAGCCGAGGATAAGTTCACTTCAGCTTGTTGTTCGAGTGAGAGGATGAAAACACAAAAAGTCAGGCAGAAAAAATAACACGTCACAAACTTTACCGGAAGTGGCTCATCAACCGGTTGAAATGGACCAAAAAAAGCAAGTTTAAAAACGGTGCAGGAAGGAAGCAGCACGCAGTCATGCGTGACAGAAACGGCCCACCTCAAAATGTCATATACAGACAGCAACATGCCTGGATTAAGACATTTAATAAACAAACAAATACATGAATAAAATAATAGACAAATGAACATAATAAATAAATCAAACATGCAAATAAAGTAAAAAGGATAGTAGACCTACACCATACATACAAACATGCATACAGTATTCAAACATACAATATATATTTTACTAAATGATATTAAGCCACCCAATAACCTATGAGATATTTTCTTTTTAAAAAGCAACAACAGCAGTTTGTATAAATGTATTTGTATGAACACACAACTCATAAATTAACCATTTTTCCGCACTTCTGGTCTCTGATGTTCAAATATCCTCCTCTGCTGGCAGAAATACAGAACTGATGCACTGAGTCCAAGCTGCATTGCAAAGGGGAAACAAAGTAAACTTTTGCTTGAGATAAAGCGATATAAATAAAATGTGGGATTTTTCCAAAGAGCACGTGACAGCGTGTTCACCCACTTAAGTTTCTGAACACGGGTGAGTTTTCACCATAAAGGTTGTACAACACCGCCCTCTGTTGGGTGACATGCAGAACACACACACCTACACACTCAAACAGAGGATAACTGCTGAAAAGAAAAATAAGAGTAAGAGAGAACAGACAGACAGACTGACAGTTAGATAGACATATTCACAAACTTAATCCTTTTTTATATCATAGTAAAATAAGCCTCTGCCACTGTTCAGGGACAACTAACAGCAGGTCCTATGCACTTCCTGTTTGTCCTTTTTTTACTCAGAGAACTAACTGTATGTGACAAACAAATGCCAAATTGAGGGAAGACAACGACAATAATATACACCTCTGTGATCTTAATATTTACTTTTAAATCACTGCAGTAAAAGCCAGCAAAGATGATTAGACTATGGTGAGTGACCCTTATACAAAAATATCCTTTAAAATAGGCCTTGATGGACATCACTGGGGCTCAAGTCAGTTATGGTGACCTTATTGGAGCTGGTATCCCCAAACCTTAAACTAACAATCCCAATATTTCATCGGGTATGGCTCTCTGGCTTTGGCATTTCATCTTAGGCTCACAACCACAGCAAGAGCACAGGCACTCCACATGAATCATTTTCATAATATTTAATCATATCTTATTATGATCCAGAAACAAGAGCATATGGAGCCCACGTGGACAATTAGAATGGAATATAATGGAACAGAATGGGTTATTTCATGTAGATATTTCAGTCACTGAATAGAATAACATAGACAAGTATAAAATACAATTGATCATTTGTACTTAACATTAACTATATTATGTTTTTCTCCTCCCTCTGATGTTAGCTGTGGTAGTAGATGTGGTAACTGGTCTCATTTACGGTGAACAGCAACATGTTGCCACCATCAGTCTGAACTCTTTTGAATGCGCCTCGGCAGGGCGCATGCGCAGTACTTGACATTTTGAAGTCGCTTTCTCCGGGGTGTTTGAACAGGAAGGCGGACATGTTGGTCAGGCTGTGGGAGAAAATCGGGCATCGTCTGCTGGTTTTTTTTCTTTCCGAAAACTAACACACATTTTAAAGTAGATGGAGAAGCCTTCGACCCGGGAGATAGAGCACAGTGGACGGGAAACAGTCGACACTCAATGACAGTACGCACGGGATGCAGCGGAAGGACCGCCGTTAGACGTCGTAACGATACTGTGTTTTAAACTCATCGAAATTTGGAAGAAGCAGAAGTTTTTTTTTCCCACCACTTCTACTTTTGAGCTGTCAGAATCTATTGTCGTTTTCTGTGCAAGGGCCTGTGGCACAGATATGGGAACGGGCCTGGACTAACCTTCCTATAATCAAAAACAGTTAACTTTTAATTGCCTTTTTGTTCGGATGCACCAACATTTTTAAGCCCTTATCCTCAGTGGCATCCTGCGGAGGCTGACTAATCTGTCGCCGCATTTATCTTTTGCCACTAGAAGTTGTCTGCCACTCATTACCGAGGGGGGAGAAAAACAACCTCTTTCGACTCGTGAGAATGTGGCTTTTGTACATTCAACGCAACCTTAAACGTTTCATCGTCTGTGAAAGCTCGAGGAGAACGATGCATTTTCTTTAAAGTGCTGCGTAAAGTTCACGCGAAGAAAAGGAACATTTTGGCTAGCTAGCTACTGGCTGGCTGCTAAAGCTAGCTAGCTAGCCAGTGAGCGTGTTTTTGTTCACGACTCGAACGTTTAACAGCAAACATGTCTGCTGGGGAAAGTATGGCGGCTCGATTTGAAAAAATCGATGCCATGTTGAAGGACCCACAGTCAGAAGTAAACACGGATTGTCTTCTGGTAAGTTTGTAACTTGCTAGCTAGCTTGGCTTGGCTAGGTCGGCTAGCGAGTCAACCGTTCTGGGGCCAGGCTACTACTTGGAGCAGAATTCTTTCTTCCGAGACCAACAAGTCGTCTCGATTGTCACTGACGGAATGTGTCGATATAAACTCAGACACACACTTAATCATGATCCAACACCTGCGTGTGATAACTGATAAATATATATAAATATTAAGCATTTGCAAAAAGAAAACAATGAACAAACTCTGGTATCTTACAGTCATAACATTGCAGCCCCAAAAACAATGAATATGTAATTGCTAGCAGTGGGATAGATGTTTTTAACTCGGATGTGTATTCAGTTAACACTTAACAAAGACAGCTTTAATAACTAATTAAACAACAATGGTAACTGAACTAGACTGACAGGTGGCAGCCGGTTTCCTGTTCTCCACAATGCAGACATACTTTGTCAGATTACTTGTGGTCAGGGCCAGTTAACACAGATTATGCTAATAGATCTGATCATCTGAATTGATTTCCTTGCCACCCACTACAGTGCGATACTGCTTTATGATGCCACTAGTGCACTTTGATTTTAGATCACAGGGCAGTTGGTGGTTAGGTGTGCCGTTTTGTCTAGATTGATTTATCTCAGCTTCATTTGAAGTGATAGGCTGCCTCTCAAGCCTGTCATAACCTGCAGGCCCCCACAGCTGCATCGGTACACCTGCCTGCTGCTTCACGTCTATGGGCGACAACTCCTGATGTGACTCTCCAGCCTTGAGGAAAGAAGGCGGCTGCTGCCACGTGCTAAACCCCTAAAGCAACACCATCATAGCTTTTTTTTTTTTTTTTTAACAAATTACATGCAGCAAATAGTAAGTGTTTGTTGATATCAGGATCCTTTCAGCTTGGGTGACAGTGTCACTGAGTGTTTTCACAAGGATTGGGCTCTTAGTGACTCATGAGAGCAGTCACACTCAGATGTTGGGTGATGAACCTCTACGTTATGCTAGAGTTCACAGCTCAGATTAACAAGGAATGACCGGTAGTTTCATTGTAACTCCTTCAGGTGTTGTTCAGAGCAGGTCAATCTCTTTGATTAATGATTCCTGTATCTTGATTGTATGACATGGAATGTATTAGCAGCTCGCAGACTGACTTACCAAGCAAAGGAACACCGGGGAAGCGGTCTGTTTTGGGAAAGGGGGCTTGTCCTAAAACCCCACCCCGCGCACACAACTTGAAGTGTTTGTGTATAGGCTGCTGTAGATCGCTGTCTTTTGAAAAAGAAAGCTTGCTTACTCTCTGTGACCTCCCATCCTGTTGCAGAACGAGGCAATTAAACTCACCTGAAAGTGCACACGCGCTGCATTTTTTTAATGGCTAAAAGCTATGGGGACTGTTCCTGCTGGCAGCCGCACACACAAGGGTGTTGTTCCCCCCCTTCTGCAATCTGACCTGATCAATGAATGGAGGCCTTTTGCTGAGGCTCCCTCTGCCACCGTGCAACTCCACCCACAGCTTAATAAAATTCCGTGCTAATCAAATAACCTCTTGTCTTTGACTGGCCCGGAGTTCCCTGTGTGTCCCAAAGCCATTCTGCACGTCTGGAGAGAGAGAGAGAGAGAGAGAGAGAGAGAGTGTGAGTGGAGGCCAGGCAGGCAGGCAGGCAGCTCTGAGGTAGCTGGGTGTGGGCTCCTCTCTCTACCCATAAACCAAAATTATGTGGACTGAAGACTCATGTTTCTTGAAGACCGTGAATCAGGACGTTTAACTCATAAAGCAGCCAACATGCTTGGCTATGAGTAATAGGTTCCATCAGAATGCACAATGCGAGCCTTTTACTGGCTGTGTTTTTCTGTACGTGAGTCTGAAGTAGAGCACTGTCGGACATAAACATTCTTCCAATAAGAGGCCTGGTCTGTGTTGTGTGATGGTGACACTCGGCTCTGGGCCGGCCTATTGAGCACAGTATTCAAGCCCTGTCACCCCTTATCTTCACCCTTTAAATAAATCCTGCTTGGAGAGAGGAGCGCCTTATCTGGATGCCCCCCCCCAAATGATTGTGCTCTGGGCCGGCCAATCTGAGCAGACAGAATTCCTGACATTGTGATGTGAAAGCTCACTGACATTAACGGTCTGAGCATTGTCCACGTGTGTGTTCTTCTTTCGGCAACATCTTTCATCAAATGTGTGGATTGAAAGTGCTCACCTTAGTTTGAGTCTCTGAATGCTAGCATTGAGGAAACGTGTTTGCCAAATTATTAAAATATGGAATATAAATCGCTTTTTCACTGTCCCTCAGTGGTAGACTGTAATTATTTGGCATATTAGAATGGTTGGGTTTATCTGTTGGAACATGTTTTGCAAGGGCTTTGTCTGCTTTTGAGATGAAATGCAGGCGTTTGTCTTTGTTCCTACTTTTGCACTTGGGGTACATTTTGATCCCTCTCTCATCTGCTATTTGGACTCTAAATCTGTAATAAGAGTAATTACAGGAAACTGCACGACTAGTAAACCAGATTTGAAGCCAGTGGTTGACGATGTGAATGTTGCACGTACATGTTAAGGTGGATGCTCTTATTTTGAAGTGATTTAGAATATCGGTTGAATAACATGGAGTAGATAAATCAACAGTGAAGTGGTACAGTTCATGTGGTGGCAGGCTGCTATGATGCACACGAGCGTTGTGTTAATTCATTCATGCTTTTAAATTTAGATCTATTTAAATGCTTTATTAAATGAATGATATAATGAACGCGTTAAAATCACATTTGTAGGTTAACGGCTGCCGGCATTTGCCACTCAAATTAGATTTCGTCCCACAACAACATCTGTGTGGACTAATTGATGGAGATGCTTGTCACTGAATAATGGTCCTGTGTGGCAAAGAAGCTGTGGAATAGAAATTGCTAGTGTGAAGCTTTTACTTGTTTACGTTAAGTTTGTTTTATTCTTGTATTGTTGCATGTGGCATGTTTTTAAAAAAAAAAAAAAAAATTATATTTCAAGCAAAATTCAGCCTAATTCTGAAGTTCAGACATTCAAAGAAAACTTATGATATAAAGCAACACCAGCGTCTCCAGATGTTGACCATAAATAACTCTTGCACAGGCAGAGGGACCGTTTTCTGTCACAACTGCCTAAATCTGAGTCATGAGAATGATTTGTGGAATCATTTTACCGGCGTTCCTCCTAAATCGCCTCACATAGTCAATCTGCTGTGGCCCAACTTGAGTAACAGCCTGGAGGAGTACAGTCAATCTTTGTCATATCTGCCCGTGTCCCAGTAACCTTTGCCTCCTAATGAACAAACCTCACCTGTTAGGTGTTGTCAGCACTGATAATGAAGCTACAGTCTGTGTTTGGTTCTTGACTTAGACACATCTGCACAGCGTTGACAGAGGGAAAACTTTTGTTTTGTTTCATATAAATGCAAGAGTTAGTCAAATCAAAATATTCAGTCTCATTTTCAGTAACTTATTCATTTGGAGCGATGCATGAGCTCACTCGTCGACTATCAGTCTTTGAAGGACCATACTGGTGGTTATGTGTATGCATGTTAATCTGCATTCAACCTTCTTATACTTACCAGTAATTGTGTCCATTTGATAAAGCATGCTATTAGTTTCTGGTTTGATTTACGGCCATTGTTTTCCAGTTAGTTCAATCACCTGTTTCTGCTTTGTTTTGCCATCGTTCTACATATTCATACAAAAACAAAGAGTGTGCATATAATTGTGATATTGTCCAGCTTTGTTATTGTCCGGTGGTAGTGCAGCTCCCAGGAGACATTGATGGAGTCATGGCTGTCACACTAATGGAAGAGTTAAGAGCGGCAGAACTTTCATGGCGGTGCTATGCCAACTTCAAGCATGCTGTTTTCATAGTTAGAATACAGAAACATTTAATGATGAATTGAATAATCTCCTTGAGTTGATAAACATGAATTTGCGGTCGCGGTTATTGATCCGTTCCTATTGTCAGAAAGGTTCAGGGCTGAAGAACAATTGGCGGAGCTATTTGTAGCTCCACTGACTGATTATGTGCAGGAATGCATACTAAAATGCTCCAGTCTTTTAATAATGGAACACTCTCTCCTTTTTGATTCACCCATTGAACTTTACAGCCTCCTGCTTTTCTTTCATCTCCTTTCTTAAGGGCTTCCAGCCCCAGTTAGTTCGTCCCACTGACAGCGGACTCTGTGAACCCCCCCCAACCCCACACCCTGCCCGGTGAAGATGGGTCGGAATAGGCCGAGTCGACGTTTTAATAAGACGGTTATTTGTCGGGGCGAGGTCAGAAATCCTGGGCCAACTCTCAAGTTTTTGCTTGAGAATCCCGAGCTCAGTCGGTGGAACACGTGAGTGTGCTCCACTGTTGGAATAACTCAATTATATTTTGACATGAGAGCGTTTGTGACGGTGTTTCTCGCTCACTGGGACTTCATAAGGAAATGGAATGCCCCTGTTTTGCCACCCCTGGGTTCACTGTCACTGCCATTTATCCAGCGGAGCTGTTAGATATGCAGTCTTTCTAGGTAAATGGGATTTTCTGTCAGTAGATATCATTGTACAGCAGGGGTGTGCAAAAGGAGTTTTTGCACACCAAGAACTAAATCTCTCAATGAAACTAAGTTGTATACATGTATTTGCGTGTACCTGAGAGTTGGCAGCGAGGAAGCGATGTGGTGTTTTCAGGCTTTGAGTGGTTTCATTGGTTTGTATGATCACATTGGTGTGGAACTTCCTTTTTTATTTGCGTGACGAACTGAATGGCTGTCTGAACAATTGCTCACATGTGGAAAGCATATTGTCTTAAAGAGGTGGCAGAAAAGGAAGTGAGGAGCAGGGCTCGACTTAGGCCGGTCCACATGCCTTGTGCTGGCATGCAGAAAAGGATGATGTGGCTGAGTCTCCCATGGAAATTTTAACTCAGACTTTAATGTCTGGAAAAGAGCTTGTGTGTGTGTGGATTCCTCTCCCCTAAAGCTTAAAGAAATAATTGCCATATGTAATGTCAACCACCAGCTTGTGCGTTTTTATATACGGTAATTACTACATTTCGTTAATAGGGTGATGAGATGTTATTTTTAATATTATTATTTAGTGTCGCCCTCTGGCTGAAGCAGCATCAGCAGAAATCGGATAACATGGAGTCCTGTAAGCTCTGGTTTGGATTCCCAGCTATCTATATATCTATATATATATCTATATATCTATATATCTATATATATCTATATATCTATATATATATATATATCTATATATCTCTATATATCTATCTATATCTATATATCTATCTATATCTATATATATATCTATATATATATAATTTTTATTTATTTATTTTTTTTCTCCAAGACTGCCACATAATAAAACATAGCCTGTGGACTAACCACCCAATGCTTTTTGCACATGAGTGACTTTTATGCATGGTTTTGTTTCTAATAGGGTAGATTGTAAGAGAATTTTGTGTGTTCATAAATATTCTCACTAACTTTTTGGATTATTATTGTCGTAAACTCTTTGCCGGTTGGTTCAGGGCTGTCCCTTCAGTGAAAGAAGAGATCTTAGAGGCTAAAGTCTAGCTCCACGTACATTTAATATTTACACACCTTGTGTATATCTCTATTTATCTGCACTACCGCAGCATTTTCTTTTCCATTTTGCGCTGCAAATTTTTATCGTTAATGCCCTTTTTTTTTTCGTTCTGTTTGCCTGGAAAGCAGACAGAAACGCCTCGGAAATTTCAGCTGCAATAAGTGCGGTAGATGTGCTCGTCTACGAACAGTTTAATGGCTGGAAATGACTTGAATGAATTACTAGCTAAGAAAGAGCTTTAACAGTGATCCTGGGCCGCCCGCCTCATATTTGTTAGCGTAGCCTGGAGCTGATTTTGTGTCTGTGCTACTGGGTCTCCATCTGGAGATCATACTCCCTCATACTCATACTCATCATACTCATACTCATGATCATACTCCATCTGGCCCAGTGGGAGACTGGTCTCAGAGCTAAAGCCAGATAGCAGCAGATGATGTTTGGTTACTGACCCTTACACAAACCACTCAGCAGCGGCTGCTTATGTTTCATATTTATAGATATATATCGAACCGGATGACTCTGCCTCTCTCTCTGTGTGAGTGAGTGTGCAGAAGTTTCGATACTGCTTGGCACTGGGTCATTCCGGAGAACCCATACCCAGGCCTGTAGCTGATAGACAGTTGTTACACACTCTTGCTTCTTCAGATTGCTTGTTTGTTTTTGTACAGTTTGCACTTCAATCCGCTTTGTTCTAATTCGCAATTTAATTAAAATTAAAACCGCGTTCTTTTGTCCCGCTGGTGTTGCGGTAGAAGACTCTTGGCATGGCTCTCCTCTGATTTTTCTTTGTTTTTTCCTTCATTTGTTCTACCATTGGACCGGCCCTCATCTCCCTCCTCCTCTCCGTCATAGTGCTGGGCTCTAGTGCTGATTGAAAATAAGGCTCACTGTGTGACTCTGTGCTTGGGATGGATTATTTTTCTTTTTTCCTCCCTTCCTTCACTTTTTGTTGAGGACTTGTTTGGCCACATACCTAAAATAGCTCTCTGACGTGTACAGTCCCGTTGAGGAATGTTACTGTGGCTGTGTCTCTGCGGCAGGAAGTTATGCAAACGTGCATTGCTGAGCGCGGAGCCTTGTGATTAGGGTCCTGAAGGACTCACTTCTTCAGCTTTTTTTTTTTTTTTTCCCCCAGTGTAGGCTGGTTGCGAACAAGGCCCCCTTTTCACCCAGCCTATGGCCTGGGTTGTGTAACTTATTCCACCAGAAAGTTGGCTTTTAAATTGTTTTTTTGGCTCTCACCTCAGCCATGTGTGTTGATCACAACCTCCCCTCTTATTAATTTCCCACTTTCTGTCCACGTCGCTTTTGTTCTACCCACCAGCCATTCTTCGCCTCCCATTTCAACTTTTCCCCTCCCATCTGCCTTTTTCCCCCTGTTTCCACCCATCCCTCAGGGCTCTTGCTTGTTTTATGTCTCATTGATGAGTGGTGGTGGTGGGGGGGGCGCGACATGGCCCTGACCTCCACTCAGCAGAGTTACTTAAGAGGATTCCTCGGCTCGTCTGAGCTGCTGATTCAACGTGTGTCATCATTGTTTTGCTCAGAGACGCAAAAAAGAAATCCTCTGAATATTTAACCGAGCATCATTCACAATACAGGAATGACAAAATTCTTGGTATGAAAGTGGGTTCAGAGAATGATGTATCTTATGTCAACAAGTGGGAAAAAAAATGTGTTTAGATCCAGATCAGCTGGAATATTAATATTTTAATCTCTGGGCTAGGTGACTCATGGAAAGGTGTCAGAAAAGGCTCAATTTCAACATCTGGTTCGCACCCGCTACAGGGAAAACATAACAGTATGTTGTGTTCAAGTGCCTGTCTTCTTTCAGCCATTGTGGATTATAGAAGATTAGATTAAATCCAGCCGGTGGCATTTGTGCTCCTATCCAGCCAGAGACAATCTACCCTGTCCTTTGTGTTTGTAGTGCTTGGAATCTCAATATTGTAGCTGTCACATCACCATTTGAAAAGGGTGTTTATAGGCATTGTCTTTTTCCACTCTTATTAATCAACACCATCCTGTTGATCTGGTTTTTACTACCAGCAGGGACAATGCTGCTCGAGCTGTCATGAGTGTTTGTAACGAGGGTCGCTGGGTGCAGCGCAGCATTGTGAAGTCACCCGGTTTACCTCACTGTTCAGGTATTGTTAGGCACCACCCTGCTGCCCCAGTCAGTTGCTTTTTTTTTTTTTTTTAGAAGCTTTGTTAGCAGGGTGGGAAACTCTTCTTTTGGTCATCCAGCAATATAAATCGCTTTTCACACCAGCCATTTCTTATGTAAATGTGTTAAGGTGGAGTGTATCCTGTTAGTGAGGCTTATCCCATTCCTTTGATCATATTAATAAATGACAAACTATGGTAATTCTATTTCTTTTTTGCCTCGCGGTAACCACTGCTGCTTCCAGCTGACTCCTTAAAGCTGGTGCACATTTAAATCATGACGGGGAAAGAAGTCATTTTCTTCTAAATAAGAAACATGTTTTTCAGGCTACCTTTTGTTGTCAAATAACGATAAAACAGTCATGGCTGCTAGCGGTGGAGACGGAAAATTAATGGGCTGCTCTTAAAACAGCTGAAGCTGTGTTTGAAACAGTCAATAATATTCAATAAATAGCATAAACATGATTTTATATTCATGTAATAGATACACAAATGGCAATTGGATGACAATCTGCATGTAAAATACTGAAAACAATATAATTTGGTTAGAATAATGGTCTGCTTATCATGATGAATTCTCACTTATTAGAGGTTTCTACTGTACTAGTGTGCCATTTACTGATTATTGCATGCTATGTGCAGGCGCCATTGGGAGGCAATGTGTGAGTGAGATGAGAGCGACCGGAAATATTAATGAAACAAACGCTTTTAATTGGAGACTTTGTTGTTCCTCCAGGTACGAAGTTGATTCACAGCCTCTTTCATTACAAAAAAAGACAAAACTCGTTTCCTCGTTGCATCAGAAATGAGACTCTTTCGCTGCAGCCATTGTTTGTAATTCTCTTACGTCACTTTGCTGAAGCTGCGCCTGTGCAGGAAGTGGTCGGGATACGGTGGGAGACTTCAAAAACCTGATCGGAACCTAGACACTCATGTCCATATTAATGCACAAACTGTAGTAAAGCTGTGAAACATTCTTTTTCGCTACGTCCATGTTTTGCTTACTGGCTTCAAGGCTTTCCTTCAGTGTGGCTCATAAAAGCATATCTGGGCAGCAGCTGACTCCAGCCCCCAGACATGATAATCTTCCTCCGACTGCATATGCTCTTATGAGCAGATGTACGCTGTCAGAGGCCTGACTATCGATAACATTAACACCACACTTGTTTTCTTAGTTCTTCTGGCGGTTGGCTTTGTTACAGTAAGTGATGCTGCGGCCTCTTACAGGAACACGGAGTGCTCGCGATATCCGCTCGGCCCGCTCAGAACGTTTGTTTGAAACGGCAGAATTCACTTATAAAGAAAGCACCTCATGGATTTCAAAGATTTTCTGTCGCGGGACGACAATAATTTTGTGAATTTAAATTGCTGCCGTCTATGGCAGGAGACATGCTTTGAGGCTCCATTTAATAAGCTCTGAGATCCTTCAGTGGGTCTGTTATTAATCACTTTCACAAACAGTGAATGTTTACAGCAGCAGAAGCTGAAAGCCTCCGAGACATTATTAATGTAATCCGGGCTTGGCGCCCAGTCGCCCACTCATGGCTTTATGCTGATTCTTCAGAGTCCAGCAGCCTGACGGGCCACAGCTTTGTTTTACATGTTGTGTGTAGCGTAGACGCTGTAGCTCTGTCTGCCTGCTTGCTAACCCTTTCTCCTCTGCCTGCAGGACGGCTTGGACGCGCTGGTGTACGACCTCGACTTCCCTGCCCTGAGGAAAAACAAGAGCATTGACAACTTTCTGAGTAGATGTAAGTAGCTCACATCATGCATCGATCGCCGTGTCTTTCACTTTGAACTACTTTGTGTTTGCAGACCCCGTTGCATACGGGTACAGGCCTAGGCTTCAGAGAAGAAGGCTGTTTTTGGGTCACCGTCTCTATGTAGGCTTGGACACAATAGGTGTCTGCTGCTTAGTGTCCCCAACAAAGGGGCTTTCATAAATGGCTGGTGACCCACATGATGCCGATGGTGGTGGCTTCTCTTTTTCCCAGTGCCCTCAGACTGGGAAACCTCATAACTGAAATGCCTACCAAAGGACGATAGTGAGGCTGAATCGATCTCTCCTTCACAGATCTAGTATAACTGCACAATTCTTCGCAGTCACATTTCAAGGAAACTATCATAATACAGCGTTTGTCCCAGAACTTGTTCTTGTAAAGCCAGCCATGTCTGATGTGGGGTGGTTGGGGGGGGGCTAGAGCATCAGTGTTATATCTTCAGGGATATACGTCTTTAATTTCCTGAATTACATATAGGCAAACATATCATTTCACCAAAACACCTACAAGCAAACTAAACAACGAATGTCTACTCCCACTCGCAAGTTGTAACGCAGCCTTTTCTCCCTCCCCTTTGTGGCCTGTTTTGTAGCCTTCACTTTTTGTTTTCCCTGGTTTCTCAAGAGTTATTCCCCAGTAAATACAGTTTGCACTGAAATCTATTGAGATGCGTATTCACATGTAGTATTGATCGGGTAGTGACAGCTTTTATGGGGAAATGATTTCCACTCTTCCTGCCTTCCGGAGGACATGGCTGAGAGGTTTGTTCATGTCCATGTAGTGACCTCTCTTTCGGTCTTTACAGGGCTTTATTTGTTATCGGTTTAAGTAAAAATAAAAGTCAGTGTTTCATATTTTGATGATCAGCTCAACCCACTGTAAACCCCTGGGCTAAATCTGCCATTAGGCTGAATTACTCTTGGTACAGTACATTGGAAATGCATTGACGGATGTGGATTAATGGACTGGATGTCATGTGAGACACTGGTCCTCAGTAGCATGCATTGCCTGAAGGGCTCTTCACTCTGAATTCTCTCCTCCATGCATTGTGCGCTGCTCTTGATCACATCAGCTGATTGCTCCATTGTATACACGCAGGGCCCTCCACCCCCACACACATGCAAATACACACAGTGTGTCTGTGTAACGGCAACAAAATCCTGTTTGTACCATTTCCAAACACACGTTTTGGGTCCTCTGGGATATTTCATGATCCCAGGAACCTACGCTCCCAGTAGAAATGACTCGCTCTTAAATGTTCTTATTCCAATAACTCGGGCCTTGCTTTTTTATTTTTAGATCGATTGAGTTATGACCCATGTGAATTGAAAATTCCCCCCCCCCCCCCCCTAGTTCAACTGTGACCAAATTTGTCTGAACAGTGAATACAGTGTCCCCTGAGGGAGCTTGCATTGTTACATCAGGGAGAGGCCGACCCTCCCTGAGCAGCAGCTCTCAGCTGTGCAGAGGCGCTGTCAGCGCTTTGTGATCCGTCTGCCAACAGGCTGGATGTTCATATGAAAGTCTGCTGTATGTAAACAGTACATAACATCTAAATGATGTCAGGAAGTAAAAAAAAAAAAAAAAAACAGGGTAGCTGATCTCCCAAACAAAATGCAACCTCTGGAAAATGTATTTTGGTAACAGAAAACCTCTGCAAGCTCTCTCGGGCACCTTATACTGTATTAACTAAAAGTCAGTGCAACAACTTAAGCTTCTATAACTTCTATTTTCTATTAACATCTCTCTCTACTTGTTTTGTTTTTCCCCAGACAAGGAAACCATTAGTAAAATCCGTGATCTACGCATGAAAGCTGTGGACTATGAGGTGGTTAAAGTTATTGGGAGGGGAGCATTTGGAGAGGTGCAATTGGTAAGAAAGCTGTTTTGTGATGTCTACAAACAAGTATTATAGTCAGTATTTTGTTTTCTATTAGTTCAGTAATAATGTAACATTCTTTGTGTGTTGCTCTAAAACACCGTTGCTTGTGAAAATTACTTGAATGCGCCTAATTGATTGTCAACACTTCACCTTTTTTTGTTTTAAAGGTAAGACACAAAGCCACGTGCAAGGTATACGCCATGAAGCTGCTGAGCAAGTTTGAGATGATCAAGAGGTCGGACTCTGCTTTCTTCTGGGAGGAGAGGGACATCATGGCTTTTGCCAACAGCTCATGGGTGGTGCAGGTAAAAAAAAAAAGCATCTAAAACTCTACCTAACCTAGTGTGGTATTATATGTAGGCCTCACCTACATAAACCCAGCACTATGTGTGAGTCGGACTGGTATTTCTTTGGTATTTTTACGAATAATTTCCTCTCGTTTCTATTCTGCAGCTCTTTTTTGCGTTCCAAGACGACCGCTACCTCTACATGGTGATGGAATACATGCCGGGCGGCGACTTGGTGAACTTGATGAGCAACTATGACGTCCCAGAGAAGTGGGCCCGCTTTTACACAGCCGAAGTGGTGCTGGCTTTGGACGGGATCCACTCCATGGGCTTCATTCACAGGTGAACTTCTCCACGTCTCCGTTGTGTTTGTCGGGTTTTGTTTTTAGGCAAACACGTTGATATTTGATTCGTCTCTAATGGAAAATGCTATTTCTGACTTATGTGAGGTCGTTTCATAGTCTGTTTGGAATGGCCTCTGAAACCTGGAGGGTGTAAAGCCATTTATCTTTTATGGGTCTTGACAACTGAGATATGCAGCAGGATGTAGAAGGAGTGGTAGCGACCTATGATCTAAGTGGGCTTTGTAATAAGCAGGAAGTCCAGGGTCAGAGGTACTGTTTTTAGCATGGATGCTAGTTCCTTGCTAGTGTTCTTCTAACTATAGGTGTCATGCAGCTGTCATTACTGCTTGTTTTTAAAAACCGGGACTCAAAACTAATGCTCCTCCAACATTAGAAAGTTGTATATCATGTGTTTTTTCCCCCAGTTAATTATTTAGTCTATCAACCTGTATCTCAAACCTATTCTACACACTACAGCTGCGATGGTTGACAATTCACACCATGACGGTTGCATTAAATAGCTCTCTGTTGTAGTGAAAGGAATTTTCAAGTCAACGTATCCTCCGCTCTCTTGGGTCTACTTTCATGCCTCATTACAGCTGACCCGTCAGCTGCAGAACACTGCAGCACCTTCAGACACTTCTCAATTGGAGAGCTTTATTTCCCTCAAGCAGCTCTAACCTCTAACGGTGCACATAAGCGAATTGCAAAGTGATTTAGTTTTTCTTATTGTATGCTTGAGTTTTGTGTATTGTTTTGGGGTGTTGTACATGCGTTTGAAGTCGCTGTATTTTTGCCTTCTCAGGGACGTGAAGCCCGATAACATGCTGCTGGACAAAGCAGGCCATTTAAAACTGGCAGACTTCGGGACCTGCATGAAAATGAACAAGGTGTCACATTTAATTTCTGTCACCGTAATAATATTGACAATGTATGTGGTGATAACATTTAAGCATGTGTTATACTGATAATTCATTTATTTCTTTGAAAAAACTGATGAACTTGTAATAATTTAAACAATGTGTCTCCTCTTCAGGACGGTATGGTACGATGTGACACAGCAGTGGGAACTCCAGACTACATTTCGCCCGAGGTACTGAAATCCCAAGGAGGAGATGGCTATTACGGCCGAGAGTGTGACTGGTGGTCAGTGGGAGTGTTCCTGTACGAGATGCTAGTTGGTGAGTGTTTGATAAGATATTTCCCGTCAGGGTTCGTGTTGTTATCTCGTAAATCTTATCGACAGAATGAAGTTGAAGGTGAAGACGAAAGCCTTGAGTGGTTTCTACCTTTCCCTCGGTTGTAAAAGATGTTCCTGCTCAGTTTGAATGTTTGTTATGGGGACATAACAGTGACCCGTGGCTCTTGTTTGTGCTCAGGCGACACTCCCTTCTACGCGGACTCCCTGGTGGGGACCTACAGCAAAATTATGAACCACAAGAATGCCCTGACCTTCCCCGACGACAGCGACATCTCCAATGACGCCAAGAATCTCATCTGTGCTTTCCTCACTGACAGGTTAGATAGCGACATACTGAGCACTTAGGGTGGGTTTTTATCATTACACCCTCTCCGGGTTTGGGCATTGACGGTGGAAGGAGTCTTGATTGACATGCACATAATAACGTAGAAGATGTAGCTCTTTGCGTCGAGATATTTAAGAACTGCTTCTGCCGAACATAACCGTTGACATGATCAAGAATTCAAACTTGTCCTTCCTGACCCCCTACAGGGAAGTCCGCCTTGGCCGCAATGGCGTAGATGAGATCAAGAGGCATCCTTTCTTCAAGAATGACCAGTGGACGTGGGAGAACATCAGAGACAGTGAGAACACTTTCACCGTTAACATCACGGATTACTTTCACACCTCCCGTTTTCATTTGGCATTCGGCTCCCTGTTCCTTTAATCGTGTAGCCAGCGTCCATGTTTTTCCATTTGACCTACTACACAGACATTTGCAGGAAATTCTTGTAGACGAGCCATTCATTCAGTATCCTCTCCGAGACTAAACGTGATTCCTGCTCAGAGGAATAATTGGCAGCACAGCCCTTTTTGAGGCCAACGACGGGGGGGGGCAGTCTATGGCAAATGTTAATGCGCGGGGGTTGACACTGGAGCAGAGAGAGATTAGAAATGGAGGGCTAAATCCAGGAGCTATAGTCAGTTCTTTAGTGGCTTTATATTTAATACTTTACTAGGCTGCAGTCAGCACTTTAGCGTTGGCCTACTCTGTCGTTCCACTGGCTGACCAGCTCTGCTAACTGACTGGTTTCCCTTGTTTACAAAAAAAAAAGGGGGTTTCAAAAGAGATCTGTGATCCACAGAAAAGCTGAACACGTGTTTCTGTGTCTTTTATCTATCTGGAAGGTAATCTACTTCATAATACAGTTATGGCAGATTAGAAAATCTATTGAAAAGATCTATTGAAAAGAGAAAAATTAGTCAAAGTCAACGAATATGTTTTACATGATTTGGATTAAGTGATTGTTCAAGACCTAATACCAGCATGTAAGTTACAGATGCATGCATGTATAATGTGTAATTAATGATAGAGAATAATCATCTTGGTGGCTGACAGATCTTGACTTGCCAATCATTTCAGGACTCTCTTCTGTAACCTGTGTTTTTACATGTTGGCTGAATCACGGGCGATGCCATTAACACACAGTGACTTATTCTACGTGATGAACTGGTGGCCCTGTTTGTCTGTTTACGAATCTTCCATCTTGTCGTGCCCTGTGTAGCGGCTGCCCCGGTAGTGCCTGAGCTGAGCAGTGACGTGGACACCAGTAACTTCGATGACATCGAGGAGGATCGGGGAGAGGAGGAGACCTTCCCCATACCAAAGGCCTTTGTGGGCAACCAGCTCCCCTTCGTCGGCTTCACTTACTACAGCAGTCAGCAGTGAGTCTGCCAGACGTGTTCATAATCAGCGGGATTGTTGGTTCGATTTTCCTTCGACCAAAGGAATCATTTTTAAAATGGGCCCTTTTAGATGACTTATGACTTCAGGAGCAATAAACCTTTTTCATGGTAGAACTCGGTTTGTCATAGTAAACATTGTTTGAATACCTTATGTTGGAGCAAATGTCAGATATATTAACTCTCCGGGTTGCCTGTAAATGCTCCTGTAGTTAAGAACATTGCTGTGAAGAAGCAGTGGTAGTGTTTAGTTTTCACCTTAACGAGAGGTTTTAATACAACTGTTGTGATTATGCTTCAGTAATTAAATGTCTTCTGTTTCCAGCCTTAAGCGCAGCTCCAGCGCCGCCACGAAGGCCAGTGACAAACGTAGCAGCTCCACAAAGGAAGACAAGAGTCATGTAAGTGGAAGACTTTTGGAGATCTGCCAATTTATTCGATTTCCCTTTTTATGCAGGTTCCTGCAATATCTGTCTGTAACTACGAAGATCTAAGATTGTTTTAATGTCTGTTTTAGCTCGAGAACCTGCAGAAAAGGATTTACCAGCTGGAAGAGCAGCTCCACAGTGAGATGCAGCTGAAGGATGAGTTGGAGCAGAAATGCAGGTATTGAAACAAGAATTGTATTCATCACAAGAAGGAAGCTGCTTACACAGTCAAAGCACAGAGCGGATGCAAATTCTTTGGTCTCGTAGACAGACAACCAAACAGACAACAGCATCACAGTGAGGTTTAGTGAGAAGACATAGACATTTACTTCTAAATAAAGTCGTTGTTGTTTCTAGTTAAATTTTGATATTTGCAAATGCAAAATGGGCCACAGATAGGTTATCATGTCACGGTGCCGACCCGTTCTTTCCCCCCTGGTTGCATGTGCATTGTTACATGTTTATAAAGAGTAAACCAGACCTTTGTACACTTTTTATTCAAGAGATATCCAATGTAGTGATGTATTGTTTTGTTCTCCCCAGGACATCAAACACCAAGATCGACAAGATCATAAAGGACCTGGATGAAGAGGTACAACATTCTTTTTATGGACAAATTATACATTGTTTTTGTGATATTTGCTTCTTTAATTGCAATTATATCCATAAATGTAAACTGCATCGCCAGCTTTTGTTTTGGTAATGCATCTAAAAAGTGTGACGATGGAATGAAACGATGAAGTTCAATTATTTTACTGTTACGGGGGTTAGATTACGAGCTGGTTTCTTCCTGCCACACATCACAGCTGCTCTGTTCCTTGCCACAGGCGAACCTGAGGAAGAGTGCGGAGGGCAGCGTGTCCCTACTGGAGAAGGACAAGATCATGCTGCAGCACAGATTCACAGAGTACCAAAGAAAAGCTGACCAGGACGCAGAGAAGAGGCGCAATTTGGAGAATGAGGGTAACGATAATGAGGCGCTGCTGACGTGTTATACTAATCTAGGTTACTCTATGTGGGCAGCAACTAATGGTTACAATCGAATCCCTTAATACAAATTATATCTAAGCAAAGAATTCACACGCAACATTTGAATAAATAAAAGGTTTCTTACCATCAACACTACATTTCGTCCGCCATGTTTCTGCGTAATTGACATTTATTCAGCAACGTCGTGTGGCAAAATTTTGCAGACTTTCCGATTTGTTGTTGAGGATACTAGTTTTTCAGATTATTTCAACACTACATGAATGCAGCATTTATAAAGCCCTGTTTAATTCATTTTCAATCAATTTTTTTTAGTGTCGACTTTAAAGGAGCAGCTTGAAGACATGAGGAAGATCAGCCAGAACTCTCAGGCCTCAAATGACAAGATCGTGCAGCTGCAGAATCAGGTAGACACACACACACACACACACACACACACACACACACAGAGTCTGGACGAGTGGAGGACAATACATTGAACTTCATTTTCCCTCCCACTCGTCTCTTCTAATTGACAGATGGAAGAGGCCAACGACCTCCTGCGTGCAGAGTCGGACACCGCGGCGAGACTGAGGAAGAGCCACACAGAGATGGCCAAGTCCATGAGCCAGTTGGAGAGCTTGAACCGCGAGCTGCAGGAGAGGAGCCGCGCTGCGGACGGGGAGAAGGCCCAACTAGAGAAGGAGCTCCTGGTCCTTCAGAGCTCCCTGGACTCGGAGAGGAGGAACTACAGCCTGGGCTCTGAGGAGATCAGGGAGCTGCAAGGTGATCCACCGACACACAGATAATGACACCGACATATGCAAACGCAGCACTAAAATCCATAACGATCCATAAATCTGGTTTGAAACTTCCTTTTAATGAGAACCAGCGTCTGAAAGTCATAGAATTAGTGGGGCAGGTGGGAATTGGAGTCACTTTCAGAATGGTTAAAAAAGTGTCAAACAAGTATTAGGTATTTTTTGTGGATAAAAGTTCTTGACATTGAAATATATGAATAAAAAGGTTTTTGCAATGAAAAAGGCCAGCTTCATATCATAAGCACCGTGAAAGTGACGATGTGTCTTTATCGTCCGTTCTCAGCGAGGATGTCGAGCCTGCAAGAGGACAACAAAAGCTTGAAGCACAGCCTCTCCAAAGTGGAGTCTGAGCGCAAACAGGCTCAGGAGAGGAGCAATAACCTGGAGAAGGTATACACAAGAAGTACAAATACTTATGTCCGTCCGATTACGTACGTGCTTCCACCCTGTTGAATTGCAGGAATTGCAGGAATTGCTGTTATTTAGTGTATTTCTTCCAAGACGATGGGACAGCTCGCCTTCATGTCGTTCTGTTGTCACTACCCCTCCCCCCCACAGGAAAAGAACAACCTGGAGATAGACCTGAACTACAAACTGAAGACGTTGCAGCAGCGTCTGGAGCAGGAACAGACTGAGCACAGGGTGATGCGGGCACAGCTCACTGACAAATATGAGTCCATCGAAGAAGCCAAGTCAGCTGCTACGAATGGTATGCCAGTCCTCTGTCAGAGCACGTCCTGCTCCGCGGTTTTTCCTCTCTGCTTTTTCTATTTGCTGCCTTATTTATTTTCTCCAATCCTACTTTAACTTCTGTATCTAATTACCTTTCTTTCTGAGCTCATCTTCCTCTCCCTGTTTCATCTTTCTTGTCTACCGTCTGATCAGACCTTTACCTGCAGGGGATGTTTGTGTGGGAGGAATTCAAGGAGTGTAAGCGGGCAGCATGTCAGGACAGCGCCTCATTGCATATTAAGACTCTTAAGTGAGCTTTTTCAATAGAATGATGATCTGTCCAAATGATTTCTGGTCTTTTTGCCTTGAACATGCTGGAAAAGGCTTATTTCTTTCAGGATAGTTGAGGCTCATTATTGTCAATAATACTGATTCTCATCTACATTTCAGTTTTTCCATCTGGATTTTATTGCCCCCATGCACAAATTTCCAGCTTCAAATACAGAGGGAAATTTACAGAACTGAACCATTACAGCTCAGAGTATGCCTTCAGTAATAGAAAATGAAAAGAAAAATGGTGGAAAATGCTCATTAGCGACTGATAATCAGATTTTGTGTTGATCCTGTTCCATTACATTTGTTGTTGTTGATGGAGTTGGGTACTCGTTGAACAAGGACTTGACCATTTTTCTGTCGCTGTCCTACTCCAGCTGTTCAGTCGAAGATGTCTGAGGAGAACGGCGCGAGGATGCGAGCGGAGAGCCGGGTCGTGGAGGTTGAGAAGCAGTGCTCAATGTTAGAGTTTGACCTCAAGCAGTCTGTGCAGAAGATGGAGCAGCTGATGAAGCAAAAAGAGAGGCTGGAAGATGAGGTAAGTAAAAACCCCCCTCACTCTGGCAGTATCAAATAAAAATGCCTTTTTGTACAGCATTTTTTTGTGCCTTGTGTCAGAGATATATCTCACCTCCCCTTTGCCGTCCTTCCCCAGGTGAATAATCTGCAGATACAGGGAGATCAGGAGTCAAGCAAGCGTGTCCAGTCTCAGAACGACCTGAAGAGCCGCATGCAGGAGGTGGACCGCCTCAGGTGTTCAGAGAAGCAGCTCAAACAGGAGATCAACACGGTGCTCGAGAGTAAACGCTCGCTGGAGTTCCAGCTGGCACAGCTAACCAAGTGAGTGGCTTTTCTGCACACTTTTTTTTTTTTTTTTTTTTTTTTTTCCCCATGCAATTCTGCATTTGTTGTCCAACCTCTAATCATATCACATTGGATATTTGTCTGCATGCAAAGTGTATACAATGAACATAATATCAAATATTATAAATAGAATAAATACTTGCATTATATCTACTTGACAAATAGGAGAATTTAAAGTTGCTGACACCACTGTGCCAGTTATTGTTACTCTGAAATGAATTGGCAGCAGCTGCAGCCAGGAGCTCTTAGTTTTCTGTTTGTGATGTGCTGGCCAGTAATGCTCTTTGGAAGTCAAGGCGTAAATTGCCCGACAATTGCCTGCTATTTTCAAAATAGTGCTATTATTCCGGCTTAGGGGGGGTGACCACGCCAAAGCTGTTCTGCAGCAGTGTTTACATCAAAGGATTAGAGTTTAGCCTCCGGCTCCCTCCACTCCATTGCTAATCTGCTGGCTAACGCTGCAGCCCATGCTGCTAGCTGTGCTGCTAGTTACATTTTACTACAGGCGTGTTTGGAAAGTGCTGTGTAATTAGCTTATAGCTTAGCTTAGATGCATAGAATTAATAAGCACTTATTGTTTTTGGTTGATGTGTCAACAGACAATACAGAGGCAACGAGGGACAGATGAGGGAACTTCAGGACCAGCTTGAGGCCGAACAGTATTTTTCGGTAAGTCTCAGCTCCCCGATGTCTCGGTCCTCTTTATTAAACGTGAAAGCCACTGGCTAAACCATCTGTCTGCCCTCCATCAGACGCTTTACAAAACTCAGGTCAAGGAACTAAAAGAGGAGATTGAGGAAAGGAACCGGCAGGTACAAGAGACTCATAAAAAGGTGCAGGAGCTGTGCAGTGAAAGGTAAGAGAATCCGTTCTATTGAGGCCTCAAGGCCATCACTTAACCACCCAAATGTCAGCTAATGGTTTTATGAGTTTTCTTGTGATAATGAATGGCTGAAGAGACATGGGATTAAAACAATAATAATAATCATATTTGTGTTTATCCTGTACAAAGGGACTCCCTGTCCGCCCAGCTGGATCTGACGGTGACCAAGGCCGAGTCCGAGCAGCTTGCCCGGGCGCTGCAGGAGGAGCAGTACTATGAGCTCAACCAGGAGAACAAAAAGGCAACCAGCAGACATAAGCAGGACATCGGGGAAAAGGAGTCTACTATTGCCCGGGTATGCAAATCCAACTCCGTGTTGTTATATCCCTCCACAATGTTTATTATGTTGTACATTTGGTAAGATGCAAATGCCTTTTTATTGTCTAAATTGTAGCTTGAGGAGTCCAATAACACTCTGACCAAAGATGTGGAGAACCTCAGCAAAGAGAAGGCTGAGTTAAGTGAGACGCTTAGTACTCAAGAGGAAGGTACTGTCCCTTTTGTTCAACTTAAATCCTCTCTGCTGCATTGTGATTACGTTGTGGCACAAGCTGAGTCTCTTCTTCTTGACAGAGTATGCAGCTCAGAAGGAAGAGATCGCAAATGTAATCAAGGCCAACTATGAGAAGGTCCTCAACACGGAGCGCACACTGAAGACTCAGGTAACGAGTCACAGCTTTAGCCGGGGAGGTATTTTTGCAAACACCGGTAATGCCAGTGGAGAACGGTGACTGATGCTTTCCAACCGTTTCACTGCTTTTGATAACTCAGGCGGTGAACAAGCTGGCCGAGATCATGAACCGTAAGGACATGAAGCTGGACCAGAAGAAGAAGGGCAGTACTGCCGACCTGCGGAAGAAGGAGAAGGAGAACCGCAAGCTCCAGCTGGATCTTAACCAGGAGAAAGACAAGTTCAACCACATGGCCATCAAGTACCAGAAAGAGTTGAGCGAGATGCAGGGGGTAAGTTAAAGATGTTCCAGAGCACTAGAGCCCAGTAAACACTAAAGTTTTATCCTCGTTTTCAACCCACATCTGACCACATCTGCTAACCAACAGCAACTGGCAGAGGAATCCACATATCGCAACGAGCTGCAGATGCAGCTGGACAGCAAGGAGAGCGACATCGAGCAGCTTCGGGAGAAACTGAACGACCTGCAGCAGCGCATGGATAGCTCTAGTGTCACCAGCTTGCAGACCGATGAGACGGACAGCAACATTGCAGGTAGGGTCACCACAGGGACTGACTGGACTCTGCTGCTGCTCTTACTGCACACACAGGACTCCTCTGCAGCTATTCAGTGAACACAGAACATCTAAATAGTCTGGGAATCGCATAGAAAGATGTAAAGTATCATTGCATTTCCTTTTAACATGTTAGCAATCTTGTGTTTATGTTGTGTGTATATTGAACAGGCTGTTGAACAGCTGCCTGTGGTTTTAGGTTTTTGTTTAAAGTCACGTTGCCATACCTACTGCTGTACGACGATTAACATCTGTTCAAAATGTATGATCGTACCTTCCTCTACATCTTTTATTCACAAACATGCCTTGTTATAGGTCTGTTTTCATATGAGCTGGTGTCTGTGGTTGAATCCTTCTCTCTTTATTCCCCCTCATGTCCAGTCGGTTGTCTTCTTATCTTTGTAACATCTATTCCTTTCCCTCTGTGAGTAACTGAGGGGACCGGCCCCCTCTTGCCTGGCCTGTGCTGCAGCTGTTGTGTTTGTCTTTTTTGCCCCCGATTTTTATTAAGTCTTCTTTTACCAGAGGTTGGAAACCCCTCTCTTTTGACTTTTGAAAGACGCCTGATGGAGAGAAACAAATATTCAAATTGTCTGACAAAAAAAAAAGACAGACAGACTTTCATGCAAAGATGCTGGCAGTGAACTTTCTTAATGTCACAAAAGGTCAGCCCCAACGGTAAAGTAACCACACGAGATCAGAGGTTACCGTCATACTAGACTACGCCCTGTGTGAGATTTACCGCCTCGCACTCAGCCCCTTTCAAAACGGGTCTTGAAACTGAAGAGCCTGTTTTTTTAATTCATGGCACCGTGTGTGTACTACAAACACTCGACACTCTTTATTGTTTCTTTTGTTGTCGGCATGTTCATCTAGAAGTACTGCTCGTTTGGACACAAAGAGCTCCCTCACGATGTCACGTTTTAGTTGACAAGCCCCCTCTTATAGTTCACTGTTCCCATTTAACTTTATGTTCAGCTGCATGCACTTGAAATGATCATTTTTAGCACCAAGTGAGGGATATAACCTGCAATGCACATGGTTGTTTCTGTGAAAGGCGTGATCAAGCTAATTCAGAGAAAATCAAAACCAATTCATGCTGAAAAACTCTTCAATTTGAAGTAATAATCTCCCGCGCTCTGCTAACATGCTGTAAGAAGGACTTACCCGTGTCTAATATGTTCCTCCTGCATGGGGAGTGTGCAGTAGCAGCATGGGATGTCTAAACTCCTCTCTAATCACTGCAGTCACCTTAACGCTGGCAGAACTCCTTAAGGGGTTCACTTGGTGTTTTTGAAACAATTATGGCCTTTGTCAGTTAACTTTTCATCCCCCCCCCAGTTCAGTTTGGTTTTAAACACTGCATGGCCTTTGTTCCACAGTGCATTTCACTCACTGCATGGATTTGTAATTGTTGTTCCATCTGGGCTGCTTTTCAGAATCCCGATTGGAGGGCTGGCTGTCGATTCCTAACCGAGCTAATATCAAGCGATACGGATGGAAGAAGCAGGTATGTGTGTTTTTTTTATTGTTTTGTTTGGTGTTTCCTCTGCACACCTGCTTTTCATCTGTTTTGGTTTGTTAAGAATGCCGCAAACCCCTTGAGGGCAATATCCGTCTTCCTCTCATTGTCCTGTTTAATATTTACAGTATGTGGTGGTGAGCAGCAAGAAGATTCTGTTCTACAACGACGAGCAGGATAAGGAACAGTCCAACCCCTCGATGGTACTAGATATCGAGTAAGTCTTTTTCTTCCTTTTTCACGGTCACATTTTTGCTGAAAAATGTCTGCGGCAAGAAAAAAAATGATCCCCCAAGGCCATGTAGCAGGGGTTGTGTTTTACATGTTAGTGAAGGTTACAGTGTTATTGATACGTCATTTTGTGCCTTCTTTGTGCAGCAAACTGTTTCACGTGAGACCCGTCACACAAGGAGACGTGTACCGAGCGGAGACTGAAGAGATTCCAAGGATATTCCAGGTCGGAGGCTCCTTCCTGTTCTAGGGATTTCTCTATAGATTCTCATAAATGCGTTCTGCCTGTATATTTCTGATGTCAAGATGTCGAGTCAGATTCCGCGAAGCTCTGCTCCGCCACAGAAATGCTTATTTTTAAGCGCAGATCTTTTTTTGACGTTTTGGCCTGCTTCTCCGTCTGTTATCAGATCCTTTACGCCAACGAGGGAGAGTGCAGGAAGGAGGCGGACATGGAGACGGGCCCTCAGGGCGACAAGACCAACTGTCTCCCACACAAAGGCCACGAGTTCATCCCCACGCTGTACCACTTCCCTTCCAGCTGTGAGGCCTGCTCCAAGCCTCTGTGGCACGTCTTCAAGCCGCCGGCGGCGCTGGAGTGTCGCCGCTGCCACGTCAAGTGCCACAAGGACCACCTCGACAAAAAGGAGGACGTTATCGTTCCTTGCAAAAGTAAAGTCCTTTGGCAGTCTAAGCTGTTGATGGTGTACAAACTCTTTATATTTTTATCTTTTAAGAAGACGAGCTATCGTTAACAACAATTAGTCAATTCATCTTTTATAGTAAACTGACTTTGGGTTTTGGACAGTTGATCTGGATTCTTGACCTACAACACTTTGTGCCCCTCCCACACAGTAAACTACGATGTGACCTCTGCCCGGGACATGCTCCTGCTGGCTCTGAGCCAGGATGAGCAGAAGAAATGGATCGGCCATCTTGGAAAGAAGATTCCCAAGACCCCGCCATCCACGTTTTCCAGAGCCTCACCTCGTTCCATGTCCACTCGCTCCGGACCAAACCAGTCCTTCCGCAAGAACCCTAAAAGCAATACGGGAAAGCTGAGGTAACTTGACAATTTGTGGCTGATGTCTTGTTCACTTGATTGCATGAAATACAATAAGGGCAGTGTGCTGTTGTTTTTGGGCAGCGAGTGAGTGAAGCTGCATTATATCCCATCTGGTGGGCTGAGCTGTGGTCCAGTCAGTCACGTGACCTGCTGTTTGTCTCCTGTGTTGTAGCAGAGCGCAGTCCAGCCTCCAAGCAGCAAACACAACATCCAGCACTTGTTGACAGGAACTTCTTCAGAAAGTGTTGATACTTTTTTAGACTTTTGTTTTTTTTTCCCTTCAGCTTTAAACTTGTCTATTTATTAATTGTGTTCCTGGGTGTTTCTAACACGAGACACTTCCTGGTTGGTTGGTTGGTTGACTCCTGGGCTCTTTCCAGTTGGCACTTGGGATTTTTCTAATTGGCACTAACGTGTTGTTGGGTTCAGTAGCTAACATGGACTTACTGTGCAACTCTTCGCTAGAATGGTCCATAAAAAGGATTTTTACGAAACATGCAGAGGTGTTAACGGTGTTGCAGTGTCTATAAACCGGCTTTTCTGTTGTATGTTGACTCTGATTGGCTTACTAACCGAGCTAAAGATATGTCTCTCTTTTACTGGACACCTGTCTTTGTTTTTGTTTCTTTCAGCTAACCATCTGAACCGTTTGGATTTTTTTCTGGACTCTAAACTTTGCCTCCTTCCTCATCCTCAAAAAAAAAACCTGGAGAAACCTGTATTTACATAGAAAATTCATTGCAAAGAGAGAGTATATCAATAAATATCTAGCGCTGGAAAATTGCAACACATATCAGACACAAAGGCATCGTGGACATAAAGAGGCCTAACACCAGGCTCCGCCGTCTTTTCCACAAGAAACGACCATCGTTCAAACTCAACAAACTTGCAGCTCTCCATTTCTACCAGAAGATGGCACACTCGTCCTGGACTTAAGATGGACAGTGTGCGCGGATAGAGGGACTCATGTCATGGAGACGTTCTGTGTTTCATATTATGTGACAGTTATGACAGTGGGAAGGTAAACGGGGGTTTTGCTGGGACTCCTGCAAGTGTGTCCTCAGTTTAAGGTACCGTCATACAGGGATTGCGGATCTGCAGTGACTCGGGTGGAAAATGAATATCAAATGTTGTAATTTTTTTTTTTCTCCCACCACCTGACAGATACTGAAGCCAAAACGCAAGCGTGCTTCTGTCTCCAGTTAAAGAAAATGACTGATGCCTTTATCTAGTATCTCTGGCCTTTTTGCCTTTATTCTTATCACTCTGCAAGTCACTTATCAGGTTTGGGACAGAGTATTGGGACATAAGTATTAGATGTTTTGAGTATTGAGTGAGGAAGCATGCAAGATCATCATTTAAATCTATGCATTATTTTTATTATAATTATTTTTATTGCTCCAAGCCATAAGGAATATTCCATTGTAATGGCATATAGGAGTCCTAAAACTTAATAGTTTTTTCTGTTTATTTGGTACATTCTGTTTTTGTTTTTTTTGTTGTAATGTATTGCCTTACATTGATTCATAGATACGTGGTTCAAAAGGAAAACATTAAGTTAACAAATGTAAAACTGCACTGTTTGAATTGTAAATTATTTGTAGACTAAACAGGTGTAGCATTTGGCCCACCTAGTGCCTTAACGTTTGGATATTGATTTTACTGCCATATCTGTTTGTTGTTTTTTTTTTTTCCCTCCAAAACAAGACAAATCTTAACTCTTCCATCATTTATTGTTTAAGAAATCGCCATGCATCTGTGGTTTTATTGGAAATTCTTCTCTCTGGTTTGAGTATATAAAATATATATATTAGATTACCTCTTTATGGACACATTGCAATAGAGTTAGCGTGTCAAAAGAAAGTCCCTAAACTCGGTTCATATCAGAAGACAAATTTCAGGATGGTGTACCTAAAGGGAGACCACAAGAATCGATGAGTGTCCTTGTTAACAATTACGAGTTGTTTCTCTAACACGGTAATGTCCCGTTAATGCAAACCCCCCCACAGTGTATATAATGAGAGCGACATAAGGATTATGGAATACCTCTGCAATCTTTTTATTTGTAACTTTTTGTTCAGTTAAAAAAAAAAAAAAGCACTGGAACTATGATCTACTCTTGTCTTGGATAATTTGCATGGTTAATTGCATTGGAGTCCGCACTGATGGATATGTCAATAAACATATCTTTATCATTCACTGGATACTAGTTTTCACTACAGAAAGTGTGTTTCATATTTTTATTATCAGGCGTCACATGAGTGCATCTTAAAAGTGCGCGTAGTGGGCATCAGACTAAAAACGCCAGGCTTATTGTGTGCCAAGTGGTTTTTGCGTCATGTAATTGAGAATTTATTTGGGGATTTGTAGTCCAGAAGCACATGATCACCTGATTTCTTAAGGGCCCTAAAGTGGGCTCTGTTTTATTTTCTAATTTTGTGTCTAAAGAGATTCCAATGGTCAAAATCGAAAATCTAGTTTTGATACAATCATTTTGTCATTTTTGTGCTTATGTTGCATATTCTAGAATTAGTGTAAATTACCACACAGTTAATGTAGTAATTAGTATCTTAAATAGACAGTACACACATGAATACACAGGGTGAGTTTTAATATGGTGGGAGGGGGGAAAGAAAATCACCAGGTAGGATTGTTGTTGTCTGAGCAAACCTCGCTAACAAGCAGCCCTCTCATAAACACTGTAATTAATGTGCCTGAATGGTCTGGGCAACAACGATCTGTGTGTGCGCGTGTAGTCCCGGGTGCAGTGCTTGCGGCAGGATGGCTAGCAGATGTCAGAGCGCATCGATAAGTTCTCAGCGTGTTGTTGCAGCGTCATTCTGTTTGAATGAAGTTCAACCTGAGAACTAGCTCAACTCTCCATTCGCGCCCCAGTGGATTGAAACAGGAAAAAAACAAAGAGTTGAGGAAGTAAAAAGGTTGCCAAATATGCCGGTGTTTACAGGTATGGTGTTATTTTTAATACAGCACGTTAATTGTCGTACAAAATGACATCAAAAACCGTCAACTCTTACACGTGTTGTTTTGTGCAGTAACGTGAAATTACATTTAGCATGCTAAGTTGGCTAGCTTTAGCATGATATGCAATTAGCATGCTAACGGTAGTAGCCAGCCTGTCAGTGTTGTTAGGCCACTGGTGGAGTTATTACCAAAGAAAAACAATATTTAAAGACATGGAGAACACTTAAGTATTACGTTGCTGTCATTGAGTCACTGTTAGCTAGTGGAGCTTACAGAATGTGTTTGGTGAAGCCGGTTATGTTAACTGGCATCTGGCTCAATCAAAAAAGCAGCTTCTGACGCTAAGTACCAGCTAACGTTAGCTAGGTTAGCCAGGTAACAGTTGAGTAAAGGTGATTTAACTAACGTTAGTTGTTGAAAAATCAAGCCTCTTTTGTCGGTAACTATGTCAGTTTAAGTCCTCTACGTGTAATACCAGTATGAAATCACAGAATCACGCCTTTTATTCGTATATGCAGTCCATGATTAGCACAGGTAGCCCTGCTAACCAAGCTAGCGTTAGCTAGCCAAATCATGAGTGTACACTTCAGAAGCCCTTTAACGTTACCGCAGTTGCGGCTTCTTGAAGACCAACAATGCTTATAGAACGCGTGTATGCTGTTTTTAATATGGTATTAATCTTACATGGGACACTAAAATTACCAAACATCAGTGTTATTTCATTGCATCGGCAGCCAAACCGTTGTATGTTTATGCTTTCACTTTCAGCTTGGACTGAAGCTAGCTGTGTTATCCCATGGAACACTTAGCTAACTGATAGATGCTGTGTCATACATGACTGCTGTTTGACAAATTAACGGCTTTTCCCAACAGTCACCCTGGGAGGCTAACGTGTGTGTGTGTACTATTCTTCTGTTTTGATTTCAGTGAATGTGAAATGGGGCAAAGAGAAGTTTGATGCAGTAGAGTTGAACACTGAGGAACCACCCATGGTCTTCAAGGCTCAACTCTTCGCCCTGTCAGGAGTTCAGCCAGACAGACAGAAGGTCATGGTGAAGGGAGGCACTCTGAAGGTACTGATGTGATCAAAAATCATCTTTTGTTCATACTAACAAGTATTGCCCCTTTAGCCAAAGCCTGTCAGTTATATACTGACATCTGTTCACCACAAACTATTAAAACGCACCAATGAACCACACATCTGCATACAGGGTCCTGGTCCTGCTGTTGTAAATATTCACAAGAGAAGCAAATGTGTATTAGTCTACAGCTGAAAACGGTACTCAGCAAATTCACTTTTTACTCCCGTTTGAGTCCTGTTTGTTAGACTACAATGCCCAGTTGTTGTAGGAATTCAGTGAGCATTTTGTTTTTAGTGGAACTGTGTGGAATGGGCCTCGGAGCCTTATCTCTTAACTGTTTTTAAGAAGCTCACCAATGTCTTGTTCTTTATTCTAGGATGATGAGTGGGGGAACATTAAACTGAAAAATGTGAGTATTCAAGATGTGTTTGAACACGTATAACAATCATTTCTTCGTTCACAGAACTATACCACCAAATTTGTTTGAACCAATCAGTGAACTTCTGTGTATTTCTCTTCTGTTTGCAGGGAATGACTCTGCTGATGATGGGCTCAGCTGAAGCCCTGCCTGAGGAACCGGCCGTTCGGCCCATGTTTGTCGAGGACATGACTGAGGAGCAGCTGGCCTCAGCGGTGAGTAAGCTTCAGAATGACCAGTACGCCTAAAACAAACATGACGATTGTTGTTTTCGGCTCTGACTTGGCCGGGGTAAAGATGTTTTCCTCAATGTGGTGTTTACCAAGTAGAGAACATAATGAATATATGTCCCATTGTCATGAGATTACATAGACATAGCATAAAATATGGACATAGTCTCCTAAAGTCACCCGTACAGTTGTACCGGGAGTTGGTTGAAGAGTAATATCCATTTCATTGGAAGTGGATAACATGACTGGCCAATACAAAGTGAAATTCTGCCTGTATTGTTGTTTCTTCAGAAACGCTTGAAGCTTGGTTATTAACTACAAAGAAGATGTATTTAGTAAACTGTATTTCATTTTTATACGTTTAGAGGAACTCTTCCCTCTCTGCTTTCAGATGGAGCTGCCTTGTGGGCTGACAAACTTGGGCAACACCTGTTACATGAATGCCACAGTGCAGTGTCTGCGCTCTGTGCCGGAGCTCAAGACTGCTCTCAGAAGGTGGGTCTTCTGCTACGGTCGGCTCTCAGAATATATTCAGCCGGTGGACATACTGATTATGAAGAGTTATCTGTTTCAGTGGTCTACATTGTTTAAAATCATCTTTGTGTCTTTCTTTGTCCTAGGTATGCAGGTGCTCTGCGATCTTCAGGGGCTAATGCACCTTCACAATACATCACCGCAGGTACGAGGCACAGTCAGTGGTTAACCCTGTGCAATGAATGTCTTAAACTTGCTTAACGCATATGATATTAATACGTATATGTCTTCTTTTTTTTTTTTACATCCTCAGCCCTTCGTGACTTGTATGAGACCATGGAAAAGACCTCATCTAGCCTGCCTCCCATCATCTTGCTGCAGTTCCTCCACATGGCCTTTCCACAGTTTGCTGAGAAGGGGGACCAGGGACAGTACCTCCAGCAGGTTACACTCATACTTACAGCTATGCATCTTGGACCTGCGTTCTTATTCTAGACTTTGAGTGACATTATGAGGATATGGTCTCATTTCTTGGCATTGTTTTCTTCTTTTTTTTGTCCTCTCAGGATGCCAACGAGTGCTGGCTGCAGATGATGAGAGTGCTTCAGCAAAAGCTGGAGCCATTAGAGCCAGAGACTTCTATGGAGGTAAAACCTATTGATTGTTGTTGTTTTCTGATGAAAGGATGACTCTGTAATTGATCAGTAAGTTATTTTGCTTTTCGTCTCTCAATATCTAGACCGAGTCTGAGAGCGGGGCTGCCTCTTCCTCCACAAAGAAGAACTTAATTGATCAGTATTTCGGCGTGGAATTCGAAACTGCGTATCCTTGCGGCGTGCACTTGTTGATCACATCTTTCTATGGTTTGACTCTAAAAGTGTTGGCGATGAAGAGTGGTGTGTAGTGTCGAAGTAAGATCTGTGCGTGTCGTTACTCCGAGGGGCTTTTCCTTCACTCTCCTGTTCAGTATGAAATGCACAGAGGCTGAGGAGGAGGAGCCAATCAAGGGCAAGGAAAGCCAGCTCCAGCTCAGTTGCTTCATCAACCAGGAAGTGAAATACCTCGCAACAGGCCTAAGACTGGTAGGAATCACACTTACCTGAATACGTTTTTAAATGGACTAAAATGGGAGCAAAAGAAAGTGTCACTGTGTCTAGCAAGACATGCACTTTGTGTACCTTTATTATAATATATTTAGAATTATACTTGGTTGTTTTTATGTTTGTCCAAAGCCAAAAAAATAACTGCAACGTACATACGACAAAATCATGTTTCTGACTCTTTTTTTTTTTTTTTTCTCTCTCTCTCCAGAGACTGCAGGAAGAAATCACAAAAATGTCTCCATCCTTGGAAAGAAATGCCCTGTATATCAAATCTGTGAGTGTTCCCTCTGCCTGTAGTTTCTCTTGGAATAAGCGTTATTTTCTACTGCTACATTTACAAACGTGAGAAGTTAATTCACATATTGAAATGTGTCCTCTAGTCTAAACTCAGCCGTCTCCCTGCCTACTTGACTGTTCAAATGGTCCGGTTTTTCTACAAAGAGAAGGAGTCCGTCAATGCAAAAGTCCTCAAGGTTTGTCTAGAGCCGCCGTCGTCCCTAATTTATAACAGGGTGCACTATGATTGGTCATTTAATGCAGAGTCTAACACTGTTTTTTTTTTTTTTGAAGGACGTTAAGTTCCCGCTCATGCTGGACGTCTATGAGCTCTGCACCACGGAGGTCCAGGAGAAGATGCTGACCATCAGGTCCAAGTTCAAGGTGATGGAGGACAAGAAGCTAGAGGAACAGCAGAAGAAGGTACGGCCGCTCCTTTGACATCTTATTTGTATTGTTACTTGCTACCTGTCATGCTAAGCTCCCACTTCATCATACAGTGTAAATACCAGCTCTTCGTTTGCATTAGGTGGTGAAGAAGCCAAATGCCGTGAAAGTGAAATATGAGCCTTTCTCATTCCCTGATGGTACGTAAGGACATGTCACTCACACGAAAACATGTAGTCGTAAATTCATCACAATACATATTTGTATAAACATACATAAAGACAATTTCTTCCTTCATCCATGTATGTGGCATTAAAAAAAAAAAAAAATTATCTGATTCCAGGAACGTAAAGAATAAATATCCTTTAATCAACATGTGCTCATTCACTCTAAAAATACACCTTATAACATTTTAACAGCATAAGAATAAAGTAACATCACTGATTAGTGTCTCAGGAATCAGAGAAAAGGCTGCATTTAGATTTTAAAATTTTCCATAAATTTCTAACCTTCAGCAATAAATCTATTGTTGAAAAGGCAGATAGAAAGTGCTCGCACTGTGCTAACTCTATTGTTACACTTACCAAAGGCACAAATGAAATGAAAGGTTTTCAAGTGCCTGCAAAATGTCATTGTCCCACAATGCTGAGCACCACTTGGGTATCTAGCAGTGTAATGGCATTTGAGTGCACACTATGTTCCCTTAAGGTCTATTTCAGTCGAATATCAGCCCAACGTTGAAGGAAAATGTGACACACTGCCGTTTCTCCCGCAGACCTCGGTTCCAACAACAGCGGCTACTACGACCTGCAGGCCGTGTTGACGCACCAAGGCCGCTCCAGCTCCTCGGGTCACTACGTGGGGTGGGTCAAGAGGAAAGAAGGTAAGCGGAGGTTTCACATTCAGCATGTACGTCAGTCACAATACAGGAACCTAAATCCCCGAGTGTACACAGATGGTCAGGAACTTAACGTTTCCCTGCGGTCTCTCGTCAGATGAGTGGGTGAAGTTCGACGACGACAAGGTGAGTCTGGTGTCTCCGGAGGACATCCTGCGACTGTCCGGGGGCGGGGACTGGCATATAGCGTACGTTCTACTGTACGGCCCCCGGCGGCTGGAAATACTTGAAGAGGAGCAGTAGCTGTGGAAGATTTCCTAGAAGACAAAGACGACATACATACAAACATGCCATTTCCAAGCACTGTCTGCATAGATGTGCAATAAAACTGGTGTCTTTAAAGATTCAATGACCTTAATTTCTTCTTCTTTTTTTTGTAACCAACACTGATGCTTGTAAAACAAATTCTGTCAAATTGTGTTAAATATTCAACTATAGTGGGCTTTGAAAATGGAGACATGACAAGAGGCAATCTGTGGACCGGATCCTTGAAAGAGGATTACGAGTCCAGCTCTGCAGTTTCATTAAATGTTTTATACACATTGTATATTTTTTAAAGCCTTTGCTAAGGTGCTCATATCATACAAGCAAAAATCTCTCTTTAGTCATTTAATCAACTTTTACAGGAATGCCGCGCCGAGCCGTTGTATCTTCTCAGATGTATTACGGAGAATAACACTGTTAAGACTTGCCCTTGTTCACCTGTTGGCCCCTCTGGGAAACTCGGGTTCAACCTCAGGTCTTTTCTTAAGTGCTTGGCTCGCATCATCTCCTGGAATTGTTCTAAAATGTATTGACAGATGAGGTTCTTTCTGCCAAATCTTCACTAATGCTTTTTTTTGGGGAGGGGAGGAGGGGAGGGGGGAAAGTGTGTGGGGATATGGTCTGGAACAGGTTGTCCTTGTGATGAACCGTGTGGGTTTACTCGACGAGCAGTGAACATTGTTCTTGCCGACATCTGAACCCTTAAAAGGCCGTCGCTTCACTTTGTGACGCGAGAGAAACAATGTAAGACCGAACCATCCACCCTCTGTAATAAGTTATTGACTGATTGCTTTTCATAGGTGATGAAAATAAACTGTTGTACCAACGTGTGACGTTCTTTAATGTGAGCATGTGATCGGAATTAATGGTCCAACAACTTATTAAAAAAAACATTTATTGGGTTTCTTAACAGTGAAAAAAACTCCAGTTTCAACCTACACTACATACAAAAATGTTAGCTTCCAATTGTTTTTGGTATGAAAAAGGATGCTGCGACAATAGCAGAGGTACTGAACGATCTATTTTAAGCCTCACTGAGGTTGTCTGCAATCTGGGCGAATCCTGCGGTGTTGAGAGCTGAGACCAGGCTCTCCACGGTGGCTTGTGTTCCCTCTCTGTCCTGCCAGGCTACAAGCAGCAGTTTGGCCTGCATGTCGACGTCTTCGCTGTCGGTCTCGATCTCTCGCAACTCCGCCGCCTTCATCTCCAAATGAGGCGCCAGTGCCTTCCACTGAGCGCCCAGCTTTGCTGCAATGTCATCCATCTGCTGGTTGCTCACCATCTTGCTCTGTATGCTTGGACCTGGAAGAGAGCGACATGAAGCGGAGGATAAGAATAGAGGCTTCATCTAAACAGGGTGGAAACTAGCAGCTGAAAGATGGAGGGGTATGGTAATTGTAGTTTATCGAGTATAGCCTACATGTTGGGATGTACAGTGTTGAATCAGCGACTATTCAAACTCACTGTCGTTGCTGTCTTTGAGGAGATTGTCTCCATTATCGTCGTCATCCTCTTCTCCCGTCTTGATCTCTTCAGAGGGAATATCCTTCTGCATGAATGGAAAGAAAACAATATCAGTTTTGGCATTGTGTCTTTGTAGAATGAAGGATACCGTTTGTTCTTAAGTAAAGTAAAGCCTCACCGGCAGTTCTTTGGCCAGTTTGCTGACCATGCTGTCGAGGTAGTCCGCGAGACTCTTGAACTTCTGGTTCGTTGGTTGAAAGAAGTGTGGACTTCTCCTGGACAGCAGCCTCAGAGCACGCCAGCCGTAGTTCGGGTTCCGCACGGCCCTGAAGTGATTCACAAGAAGCAACTGATGAGTCACAAGTAGTATAGAATGCCTGAAAAATATAGTAGTATGCCATACAAATGTCAAAGTAGAGTATGTCATAAAAAATACTGCAAAGATGTTATGACAGTATAGTATGCTTTAAAAATGCCATTCCATAAACAATGTAATGAAAATGTCAGTTTAGTACATCATTGAAAATATAAATAGTCTAGTATAATATGTGATAAAAGGTTTTAAAAAAGTCTTAGTCACCACTCAAGTTGTAGTTTATGTTCATGTCTGCCCAAAATATCTTGAGACCAACATTCTATCCTGTTAGACAACATGTATATATTATTGTGTTGTCTCAGTGACATTTGACCACTAAATTCTTATCAGTTTATCCTCGGGTTCAAGTGGATGCTTGTGCCAGATATAATGACATTCACTCCAGGTGTTCCTGAGATATTGCTTTCACAAAAATCACTTCATCCTTAAGTCAGCGTGGATGTTTTTCGCCAAATTTGAAGGAATTTGCTCAGCGTTCCTGAGATATCACGAGGACGGGACGGATTTGAAGCGGTGGTGACCCTGACCTTTGACAGAGGGAGAGGTGCTTAAGTACAGACGGACAACCCAAAATCATAATGCGTGCGGCCACCGCTGTCACAGAGACATAAGACTGGGGATGAAGACACTAAAGCTCTTTAGGGAGAAAAGACTAGTCACAGTGCAACTTACTTGTACTCTTCCTCCACCATGTTAGCGGGATCGGCCTGTTCAATGGCCTCCGCAAAGAATTCGTCCAGCGATGGCATGAACTCCCTGAATGAAAGACAACATTGTCTGCTATATATACACATATACACATACACATATATATACACACACACACACACACACACACACACACACAAGGTGAAGGTGATGTAGATGAGAACTGCTTCCTTATTTTCTGAACCACTGACCTGCTGTCGGACTTGCAGGCCTCCATGTTGTCATGGTTCAGGTTCCACAGTCGAGTCAACTCGTCACTAACAAAACACAAAAGTGAGAATTGTTGCGGTAAACTCTACAGGCTCATTCCACTTGGGTCGTGGTCTACAACTGATTATTAAGGAAGGATCTCTTTTCATTTGTCTCCACATATCGCAGACGAACACATGACCTGCACTCTGCATTTTTATGGAATTGGCTCTTACTACAACAGGGTTCAAACCTGAGAACATCTAACAAATCTGCTTTCCCTAACCTGCATTACATCATTATTGCATTACGTCACATACTTTCCCATGAAAAGCTTGCTGTCCGGCCCTTTTCCAAGGAAGTCTTCTGGAGCTTGTCGCTTCCTGGTGGGTCTTTTGGGTTTGTCATCTACTGCCCTGTTAAAGAGGGAATAAATCAAACAGACAGTCATTTTGGCATGCTAGCCCAGGTTTACACACCACATTCTGTTGCTGTAACAATGGACAAATCCATTAAATAAAATATCTGCCAATATCTGATTCTATTGCGAGATTAGGCTGCTGTACCTTTCTTTCACAAAGCTCGGGCAGCCCTCATTTTTCCAGCCATTCCAGTTCTCCTCTGTGCCGAGGATATGCTGTCGAGAAGAACATTTATAGTGTCACGAGTGTACCGGGAACTCTTTCCAGGGAACTTGACAGAGCGCGTAAGAACAAGCCTCGTTTAGCTTCCAATAATAGCATTCTGAAATCTTGGCTTACTTCAACCATGGTGGCAAACTTGTCTCCATCCGGAGGAATCTCTTTCAGCAGCTACAAGAGAACAGTCACAGATTAATACGGTGGGATTTTCTCTCTCTGGATCCCATGCCAATAAAACAAAATGGCAGATATTTCTAAATCTTGGCAAAGCTAGATATTGCTGCTGGTAAATGGGAAAGTGTTGTCCCTGAGTTCAGTGTGTTGAGCATGTCTAGGTACCTACTGTAGGTCGACAGGTACAAAGAAAGTGAAATATCTATCTATAGGAAATGATGTCAGCGAGATTTAAGACTGACCTGAAAAACCAGTTTAGTCGTGTCTTCAATCCACGTCGTCTGGTCGTCATTCAGAGCACAGCCAGAGCTGCACGAGGACAAAAACAGAACATGAAACAACGGATGACAGCTTCTTTTATTCACACACATTTTATTGTGCACCGTTGGACAAAATGCTTCACCTTTTGAACTTGACCTGGCCCTTCAGGTACTGGAAGAGGATGAGGTACTGCAGCAGAATGTGCCGCCTGAAGTTGCTGTCGCTGAGCTGCAAGTCCATCAGCTGGAGGGTGAGAGCGAAGAACAACAAGTGAGGCAACGCCCAAACTCTATCTTTGCATAGATACGAATAAACATATTCAAAACCACATCGGGACTGTAACAGGAAACAATTATTTCTGGGCTAAAAACAGTTTTCTCACCTTTTCACTCGTCAGAAACTTGGCAAAGTAGACGTGCTCTCCTCCCGATGCTCTCAGCTCCTCCAGCTTCCTCTTAGAGGCCTGCATGTCATCCAGCTTATAGCTCTTGAACACTGCCAAGGTCTCGTCTGAGAACTGTGCAGGACAAAGAGGAATTTACGCCGGCAGTGAGTCAGTTCTTTTTAGCATCTACTTTGGTAGTCGTTATGATCTGACAAAACGTTCTCTGCTCTCGTGGCGAGGTGCATTACCTTAAGAAATGTCATCCAAGAGAATTTATCGTAACACTGCACAGGGTTTCTGAAGTAGTCCTGCAGAGTCCAGAACTTTCTGTACAAGTTGTAGTCAATTGGAATGGAACTGAAAGTAATAATTGATGCAGTTGTAATAAATACAAAATTAGTAACATGCAAAAGGTGTCATTCATGAAATGGTTAAACGTTGCTGTATTTCAGTGCAAGACGTTCCCTCACCATGGTGCAGGAGCCTCCTCCTCTCCCATTTCTCCTTCCTCCACCTCCATGCCATCTTCCTTTTCTTCTGTGTGCTATAAACACCGAACAATGAAATAAGATTAAACTATAACTTTAAGGTTACATTTAAAATTCTCACTGTCATTATCAACACTTTACCTTCTGGCCGAACGTGCTTTCTTGTTCATTCTTGTTGAACACGGTTATATTTTCCAGATTAAACTGGCTCTGCAGATTGAGCCCTGGAATAAACACAAATGGCAGTACATTAAAAAGTGCATCCGGATGAGGTCGGATGATGGTGGCCACAGATTATAAACTATCACACATGAGGAGTCGATGTTGTCTTCTTTATTCAAAGATAATATGCATGCGTTTACCTGATTTTTCCGACAGAGGGAAGAGACGTGCCAGGAAGAGCTGGATTCGCCCACAGAATACCGTATTCTGGGATTTGGACAGCCTCCTTAAAAGATCTACACAGTTGGACAGGTGTGTTACAAACAGCTGTGCCCTTTAAACACACAAAGTGTTGTTCATCAACGGGAATGAAAAGCCATCCTTACCATTACACATCCTCAACAGGTAGTTCTTCCCAGCGGTGTAAAAAGAGTTCTAGGAAAAGGGAGAGTACACAGTGATTAAATGATCTTTATTACACTGGAGACACACTAGAATTGGCTTTGAGGCTGCAGCTTATTTACCGATTTCCAGGTGGAAACATTCTCCTCGACAAAAGAGAATATTTTGTCACATTGGTCGAGGGGAAGACAGTCCAGTACATCTCCCAGCAGAAGGAAAGGAGTTGTAGCAGAACAGATACCTACAGGGAGACAAGACACAAGATCACAAGTATTGTGAGGTGTAGTCAGGACACAGTTTGTACTGATGCATGTCATGACAACAATATTACTAATTTATCTATCTAATATCTTTATCTATCTAATTTATCACTTGAAGATGCATAGTAAGTGGTGTCTTTCTTTGAATGCGAGAGTCTAGTGTATATATATATATATCATAGCAATAGTATCACTGAGTTTCATGTGGGCAATTTGAATGAATGGTATAACACAACAAGTATTCATTCATTAACTGTTGTCTTTCCTATAAATCAAAGACACAAAGAGCAACATACCTTCTGTCACTGCGTCAATA